AAAAAAAAAAAAAAAAAAAAAAAAAAAAAAAAAAAAAAAAACTGACCAACTATTTGAAGGAAAAATGGTAGGTTCAAAGTGTAGATTCAACTAAATGAATAAATTAAATAAAGAAAACCACAAGATTTTATCTTAACAGTTGTCTCGGTAAGGAATGCTTAGTTCATAACAATTTTTACGTCCTTATAAGTAATGCTTAGTTTTCATTTCCAATCAATGTGTAATCTCACAATCCACCCCCTTGGGAACCCAACGACCTTGCTGGCACAACGCTCGGTTCCTAACTTTGATACCATTTGTAACAACTCAAACTCACGGCTACCAGATATTGTCTCTTTGGACTTTCCCTTCTTAGTTTCTCCTCAAGATTTTAAAACATGTCGACTAAGAAAAGGTTTTCATAACCTTGTAAAAAATGTTTTGTTCCCTCTCTAATCGACGTAAGATCTCATTAAAACCCATTTGATTTTGAAACTTAAAAATTGAAAAGGAGTTCATGATATATCTTCTCCTATTCATTTCACACAAAAGAAGTTCATAGTGCACCAACTATGAATAACAATATTTATTCGCAATAGCTCGAGCTTTAATTTTATAGAGATGATAAATATTTAGATGGTAAATTCAATAAAGCATATTAAAATATCATGAATAACAATAGATTTCAACAAGTTTTTCAACCTCAGAAACTCAATTGGGACAAGAATAAGGACAAAATATGTTACAAAGGTCAGAAAAATGACCAAAAAATAGTTCATCAGTCCAGAAACCCATTAATCAGCTGACAAATCTCTGTACTGTGGAGCCGTATGGGCTCTGTTTTTTATTATCTCTGCCACTTGAAACTCATTATAATGATAAAAGGGAAAAAGAAACAAAAGAAAACAGTAAAAGTACTAAGTGGTGGGGTTTTGAGGGATCAAACTGTGAATTTCATCAAAGTTTTGGTCCCATTTCTTTTCTTGTTCTTCTTCTCAACTAATACAAGCAATGGTACTGCATCTGGTACCCATTTCTACATTCACCTAAGCCTAAACCTACCACAACAACACTAATCCTTCATAATAATAATAGTAATAATAAACCGGAGGAGAAAAATTTACATGATACTGCAACTATCCGTGTTCTCGTCGCTGAAGGCGTGCGTGTACTGGTCGGTTGCGACCGGAGGGAACATCAGGGGAGGAGGAGCGTAGTTCATGGCTGGGTTCGGGCGCGAATACATCATGGGTTGGAACATTTCATTCCCAACTCCCCTCTGTTGGTTCATCATCATGGCCATGTACTGTTGTTGTTGTGGATTGTAAGGGTTCCCTTGTCCCATTCCTTGATAATATCCTCCCCCTCCTCCTCCTACTCCTCCTACTCCTACTCCTCCATTCATCACTTGTTGAGCTGGTAAGCCTTGAACTGCTGGAATGTTACCCATTTGGCTCATTGCATAATTTCCCATTGGTGCACCCATCTGGCTCATATTAATGCCACCAGGACCCATTGGACCCACTGGACCCATTGGAGCCATTGGAGCCATTGGCCTGGGATGGCCTCTGTTTCCATTATTAACATGGCCTATCTGACCCATTTGGCTCATATTCTTACCATTTCCGCCACTCCCTTTACCTCCTTTGCTTGGTTTTGGGATATCAATGTCATGGAAGCCAATATCTAACTTGTCAAACTCAGGGAGACCAACAGTTTTGCCTCCTTTTTTGGGTCCATTGCCATTATGTTTTCCTCCACCACTCTCTGCACTTTTATTACTACTCTTGCTTCCTTTGCTCTTGTTACCATTCTCCTTCTTGCTACTACTTTTACCACCAAAACCAAACAGCCCCTTCTTCCCTAGCCCTAGGAACCCGCCCCCCTTCTTCCCCCCTTTCTTCTTATCCCCTCCTTTGCTCTTACTCTTCATCCCGCCACCGCCACTGCCGCCGCTATTGCCACCATCTTTCTTCCCTCCTCCTCCCTTACTGTTTTTCCCTTCCTTACCTCCTCCCTTATCCTTCATCATAACAGGGAAATCAATAACTTCATCCTTCTTGGCTCTTCCAACATCCCCACTTTTCTTACCATTCATGGCATTGAAATTAATTGTCCTATTGGACCCAAAATTCCCCATCATGGGTATGGGAGCATTCTTTTGTAAGCCATGTCCATGTCCATGTCCATGTCCATGGCCAAACTCATCATGTTCATCAGCAAACTCATCATCATCATCATCATCATCAAATTCATCATCAAATTCATCATCAAACTCATCACCACTAAAATCAGAATCATCCTCATGCAAATTGAACTTAACAGATTTCTTATCTCTAGGAGGAGGAGGAGCCATAAGATTATGCATATTGTTGTTGATATTACCTCCTTTGTTATTGTTGTTGGAGCCTTTCAGTTGTTGTTGTTGTTGTTGTTGAAGAAAAGCCTTCTCCATCTGAAACTTGTGATTGTTCATGTTCATGTTCATGTTATGTTCTTTGCTTCCTCCTTTGACATTTTGAAATTGCATGTTGTTCTTGAATTTGTTCATGTTGTTGTTTGAACTTAACTGAGCTCCCCATAGTTCAGCATGTTTCCCTGATTTCTCAAGCTTCTTTATCAGTTCAGCTGGATCTACATTTCCTGTTACAATAACTTTCCCTTGTTCTGCATCGATTTTCATATTGTAAACTCCTAAAAAAAAACCCCAAATCAGAAAGAAATCAGTCAATAATCGCTAAAAAAAAGGTAAAAACCCTCAAATCAATCAAGGGTTTCTCCTCTAAATTAAGTTCTACTACCACTTACCATCAATTTTCTGAAGAGTTTTCTTGACCTTCTTCTTGCATCCATCACAGTGAATGTTAACTCTAAGCGCACAGGCCTGGAAACAAACACAAAAACAACATCAATTTCAGCGAAAACCCGACCAAGATTTTAAATGGCCAACAAACAGGGAAACAGACAAGAATCCGATAATGTACCTGAATCTTCATGGCGTCCTGTTTACTCATTGTGAGTGTGAGAGAATAAAGTGTGTTGAAGGTGTTCTGAGAGACAAAATTGAAAGTGGGTTTTGGTTGCTTGAGGGCTTTGTTTCACTTCAAGCTTCTTCTGCTACTTGTAATTGAAGGCTTTCAAAGTGTGTTGAGATCGATCTCCCTGTTCTTCAAGGTGCAGAAGAAAAGGAAGAAGAATGAATGAAGAGAGAGAAGCAATGGAATATTTTGAAAGAGAGAAGCAGATGCAGAGAGCTCTCAAAGGTGAACAATGGGAGCGTACCCTTTTGAGCTTTTATCCCCTTCTCAATGGGTAGCTGTGCCTCTCCCTTGCTTTGCAATTGAAAATGATTTCATTTTCTTCCTTTCTTTAAATATCTATATAATTAATTAAATAAGTTCATACGGAAAAGGTGAGATCCACCCCCAATGAAACAGTTTATAAGCGTGTAAAAATCTCCTCTAGTAGATATGTTTTAATTTGTTGGTGGTGGGCTTGACCGTTGCAAATGGTATCAGAGCTAGACATCAGGTGGTGTGCCAGCGAGGACGCTAAGTGTCACAATCACACTTTTAATGGTAGCGGACTTGCAATTGTGTAGCACTCACTTTCCAACGACAACTGAGCTAAGCCAATTCGTTCTTGCGTCGACCAAGCGACGTATGCTCAAGCTTTTAGCCTCAGTTTTAAGAGAAGATTTTAGAAAACGAGGGCACAGAGAGATTTTTGAAAGAGACGTTATATAAGCAAGCAAGGGAGAAATAACAACGGCTCGCAATATATAACCTTGGGTAGGGAGAAGTTGACAACTAGTCGTATCCCCTATAATACATTCTGAGGTATTTCATGTCTGACAGGCCTAGACATGATATTTTTGAAACATCATACTTCCTAGAAATACAAGAGTAAAATATTAGAATATGGAAAGACATAAAGTGTTTGGTTTGTTGTGGGCATGCGGTCATAGGCAACACGTCTTGGACGAGCATGACCGTGACACTGAGCCCTAAAAGGAGTGTACACTAAATGGTGTGTCAACAAGGACGTTGGGCTCTCGAAAGGGGGTGAATTGTGAGATTTCACATCTGAACAAGGGTGGATTGTGAAATCTACATTGATTGAATAGGAGAACGAAATATTCTTTATAACGGTGTGAAAATCTCTCCCTAACAACCACATTGTAAAAATCTTGAGCAAAAATCTGAAAGTAAAAGCTCAAAGACGGCAATATAAGCCTCAAATGGATAGATTGTGAGATCCCAAATCAGTTAGAGAAGGAAACGAAACATTTTTTTCTGTAAGAGTACACGTTTGAAAAATTAATATCAAATTTTATATACAATTGAATTAGTTGTATAAATATAATATTATAAACAAAATATTTTATTATTTTATTATTACAAGGAGTCAATAGTAAATGTGAAAGAGAGTACGAAATGTTTGAAAATTGATTGACCAAGATCTAAAGTCTATTTTTAAAAAAAAAAAAAAAAAATAGAGAAATATAATTAGAAAATAAAATAAATGACAGAGATACTGGGACAGCCGGTAGCCCATGTGATGCCAAATATTTTTTTGGTAACTGGTTTCCTCTTTCTTGGAATTTTCCATTATTATTGGTTTTATCAATTTTAGAATATTGGAATTTTCCATTCTAATTATCCTAATAATATTATTCCTCTTTTTCCATCTTTCATTATGTTTCCCCTTACAAGGCAACCACCCTAAAATAATTTATTAATTAAATTTTCAAAAATCATTTTAATATTTCAACTTTATCCAACCTAATAATTTAGTTTCTCAATTATTTTAAATCATCATGTATACGAAACAATCCTAAAGTGTGACATTTTCTTTCGAAAATCTTGAACGGCCGAATTTCTCGTTCTATTTTTGAAATATAAGAAACATGCTTGTTTTAACGTTTGGATCCCGAGAAAAATCTTAAAACTTTAAAATACTTCCTTCTCTTCATACGAAGTCCAAGAGTTACGAAATATAGATCCTAGAGTAAATGCTCAAGAGGAGTCATAGAAAGAAGGGAACACAGATACTCATCGTTCTTGCTGAATCACACTCATACATGAGGTCCCACACAGCAAATGTTTTAACACATGATGTATCGTAACACTCACTCCTTTGATGAAACATGCTCAAATGACTAGCATACATTCATCATTACCATAACATTCTTTCATCATACAATAGAATAAATACATCATATATACTTGGGCATGACAACCATCATAATCATTTTTGTCAAAGGATCATACAATATAGCATACTATATACCATTTACTAGGCCTAATATATAGCGTCCAATAGTAAGCTTACTTACGTCATAGCAGTTTAAATCATTATAAACTTGTTCTTGGAGCTATTCATACCTCAATGTAATCTAATGACATCCGAACCTATACACAATTGTCACGCAGTACACATGTATACCTTATTAGTCATGAATCCTACTTGGATATGCTTAGCAAAATCTTGAACGGACTCAAATTTAAGAAAAAAAGAACTCTATAATAATCGAAATTGAATGGAAATGAACTGGATCCAAATGATGCATAACCGAGAGAAATGGTAGAGAACTAGGTCATTGAGTTGAATTGACCTAAACTAGTTTGAAACATGGTTAAATCAGTCGAACTATGGAAAAATCAAACTGAACTAGGTCGAGATGATGATGAACCAAACTAGACTAATGTTTTCTTCTTCCTCTCCTTTGTATGGATGTGCAATGGTGTTGACAAATTTTTTTTCGTAGTGCAATTCCTTCCCGTGATGCACGTGGGTCTGGTGAAACAATTGTGTGAAGGAGGTGTGCGACTAGAGGCAAAGGCAAGCAACGATTGGAGCTCGAGATGAGACTAAAGAATGGAGAAACGACTTTGATGGTCGAGAACAAGAGATTCTTCATATGTCTAGCGTAAGGGGATTGAGTGTCACAACCATACTATGAATAGAGTAGGTTGTGACCCTCACGTCAAGTCAAGCAAAGCAACAACCCTCAAGAGGCGTCCATCAGACCACACGAGGGCCAATATAGAAGAATGTTATTATGCGACGGAGGAGGATGGTGCATCATCCAACACACTGTATAATGTGTACATTGAAAAGGCAATGAGACATAAGCAAGATAGAAAAACGAGTAGACATGAGTGTCACAGATAGGCTTGTTAAAGGGTCGGGTAGGGCCCCAGGCCTTAACATCAAAAATCGAGGTTCCAAAGGAAATTTGGACATGGAGTTTTGAAGTCAAATTCGTCCATAGGAAATATGAAAGCTCGCAAAATTTGGTGTTAATAGGACACTAGACAGATGCTCCACGACACCATATGTCCATTCACCAAAATCATGTTTATACCCACCAGTTTAAACATGTCTAAAAATGTTCTACAGGGAGAGACATGTTGTAAGCTCTCCACCTCCCCTAGACTCTGTGGCCTAAGCAAGCGATCCTGTAGCATGTGCATGTGTCATAGTGAGAGCGAGCGTTTCGAGACGAGTGTCTCAGGCTACTTCCTTTGAAATAGGTTTTTCAAGGACAGTATAGGGAGGCACGGATGTGCTGGTATTGCACCCTAACCCATGTGTTAGAGGTTGGATTATGCCTCCGCTATCCGATACGATATCTGTAAGTGACATGGCATGGGCACAGGAGGGCCAATGCCTCAATTGAACCCGAATGGATAAATGTTCGAGATGCCCCAAATTATGAACGACATGTGGGCCTATTCTCGATGACATGACCAAGTGAGCTACGTGGCCGAAGACATCTCGTGACTTGGGATGACGTCAAGACATGTGGACCACGTTAATTGGGAACCAAGATGATGATGAGACGCAACGTTGAATTGAGAGACCTTGACCCCGAGTAGAGACAACGTCGAGTCGAATGACTTGGACTATTGTAAAGGTAAGTCAGTTGTGTCATAGACGATTGAACAACAAACGACATGTATAGTCAAACCCTCCACACATATGGGGGTCGTGGATTTCCCTTAAGACTTATCGTAAGCGTATCAAAATCACGACACAGTACGGTTGAAAAATTACAACCATGACACTGAGCAGATCAAACCCCCCACCCATACAATCACTCTTACAAGTTAAAAAGTTGGTGTCATATGGACAACACTTGGCCATTAAAATTTTCACAAGCAAGAGAGAGATAAAGGTACAAACATATATGTTCGAGTGATTTCATCATTGAGGTGAGAAACTTCTTAAACATAGTTTAAATTGTAGTCTACACTTTGCGATTAACATACACGGTGTGTGTACATACATACATATATATATACATACATATATATATATAAAGTAATATTTAAGAAGATGATGAAAATTTTGGACACGAATTGATTAGGGAGCAAGAACAAGAAGCAAAAGCTGGTGAGAGACAACACAACACAACGTCTCAAAAACATGGCAGTTGTCAGACCAGATGTGTAAAAAGAAACAAATTAAAAAAAAAAAAAAAAAAAGTAAAAGTCACGTAGAGCACGTAAAGCAATTCAAAACCCCAATCCCAAGTAAGTAGAAAAACAGATCAAAAGCAAAAGCAAAAGTGAAAATAAAAACGAAAAAGAAAGAAAGAAAAATCCAAAAAAGATAAATTCAAGAGCTGAAAACTAGACCCTATTCTTCAAAATCAAATCTATGCCTTCTTTCATGAAAAACTGAACCAAATTTTAATTTACGAATGTTCATTATCTCACACTTAATTAAGATATATAGATTCAATCAAAAATTTGAAACTCGAGTAAATAAGTTTGAATCAAATTGAGTAGAAAAAAAGTGCATGAACATGAACGATGAACGATGAACCCTAATTTGAAATGATACCAACTTTGATTCATGGTCTGAATGAGTATGCAAAGAAAGAGAAAAAAAAGAAAGAGAAAAAGAAGAAGATATAGAGACAAAAAAGGATAGACAACATCATCTGATAGCTACTTTATTGGGATGGGAGATGAGTGAGCTTTGGGGCCCTTCCAACTTTGACTAATCAAACCACTTTTTCTTTCTTTCTTAGCCATTGGGACAGCAAAACAATGGGGCATTACTATCTTACCATATTTAAATACACTTTGGAAGATTCTAAGGTGGAAAAAGTTTGATCATATTTGATTCTTAGCTGATTTTTGCAGGCTGTTTTGAGTGTGAGCTTTGAAGAGGGAAGTGGGTGAGTTTTGAGAAGAAGCTCAAAGCTCAGGCATTCAAGAGTTCTTACACAAATCACTACTTTTCTTTTTTGCTTTAGCTTTTTAGGAGGAACCCACGAGTTATTG